CAGAAAGATCTAGGGAGATGTAAAACCTGGCAATTTTAGCTGCTGAAGCTGCTGATGGAAGATGAAGCCATCTCCTCTCTCTTCATTTCACCACTACTGCTCTCAGTCTTTGTCATTTGACCAGGCATCCTCTCTGCCAGCCCAGTCGTGGGGGAAGGAGGCCTCTGGCTGACCAGCGGTAGACATGGCAGAATGAGGAGCCACAGCTGAGTTAGTCCTGCTCTGAGATAGTGGGAAGAAGCAGCACGCCTGAGCTGCCACCTGAAAGCTGACATCCAAGCCAAGTCAGAGGAATCACATCCCCAAAGTGTCTGATTGCCCCTGCAATTGCAAGGGAGTCAGAGTGACTCACTCAGATGTAGACGTTCACATGAGAGGTGTCTAAAGTTAGCTGGCATGGATCCTGCTCCTGAAGTCTCTTGCCAGGCAGAAAATGGACTTGAAGCCTTGGGATACACTCTATTGGCAGTGTCATCTGAGGAGCATTATATTTCCCCTACCACCTGTAGATGACAGCAGACTGTCTCATGGCAGCTACACAGGAGAAAGCTGTGTAGCTTATGCAGTTAAGCAGCCTGAGAGTCACCCCTTCGGTCTCAGTGGCTCTGACTCAGATTTATACAGGTGGGGATGAGAAAGGACTTTGGTTCAGTACATCCGTGGTGTCAGGCCTATCGGAGGTGACTGAGAGAGAGTTGGGGAGCAGGCAGGAGAAGAAAGTAGGATATAAAAGGGTCACACCACACAGGGCAGGAGGAAAGAGAATTCAGACTGAAATCTTGCAGTTTAATGTTTGTGACTGGTTTTGACCGATCAATGCGTTTCACAGCCTGGTGGCCTGTGAAGTTGCACTGTGCCAGGACACCCGTGGTTTCTAAGGAGTTTTCATTTCACCTCTGCAGCTCCTGCTCCGCAGTACCCAAGTGGAAGGGAGGCAGCTGCCAGCAGACAGGGCTCCTTCCTGCCTCCTCCTAGCAGCACCCACGGGCTCCCATCCGCTTTTCTCCCTACTTTGCTTAGCCTTAATTCGAATAGGCTTTTTGGTGATACCTTTGTAAATCCCAGCAAAGCAGAGGGGGAGGTCTTCAAATATCAGACCTGCAATACTTGTGCTGGCAGTACGTGTTTGAAGAGGCTTAAATAAGAAATTTAATTGTGTGTGCAGCATCGTTACGCTCTCAGGCTGCTTAACTGCATAAGCGACGTCAAGGCAATGGCAAATCAGGCCAGTGGCTTCCTTCAGAGGCTCAATCCCTTGGAGGGACGGTGTCAAACACGTCCTCTGCAGCGTCAAGACTTGAGCCATAAAACCTCGTAACTTACCTGTCTCTGATGGGCCCAAAGCTTCGTGACTTGGGGCACCCCGACAGCTGAAAATCTGGTAGCGAGGCCTGAGTCAGCCTTGCCAAGCTTTGCAAGGGAACCGTTTTCAGCTTCTTCGGGGATGAATAAGGCTACTGAGAAATTCACAAGCATTTGTAGCTCATGTGAATTTTAGCAGGAGCAAATCATGAGCAGTTTTTTTTTTTAATAGCTCAGTAAATCGAAAGTTTTAACCCTGACTTTTCAGATCTACAAAGTTTTTATGCCTATTATCATGTTAATACTATGCAGCAACACCAGCATTTGAACTATTAGAGTATTATAATCCCACACATACTATAAAGGCGTCACTAGAGCTGCTAATCTGGCAAAATCTGGATCCCGATGAAGATTTAGCCTATGGTCTTTTGCCATATTGCACAACTTACATGTTACAGAACTAACTACCTGGGAAATAATGGAAACAATCTCTATAAATTAGTAACCAGCAGCTAAACAGGGTTCATCAAGTCTGTCTTGCAGGTAGACTTTCTTCTCCTCTCTCTGGCTACCTCTATACAGCTAAGTAAAACTGAGGAGGGCTCATTCTCTGAGGCCAAGTAGCACAGCAGACATTGTGAGCTGCAGTCCCCAGGCATTGCCTGGAAACATGCTAGTTGGCCCTGGACAAAACTGTACCAGGTACATGACAACAATTGACGTGTATGAACAGTTATGAGGTTAATTTACTGGTGCTGATGCAGCCATTGGGACCATTGTGAATCCAAAGCAATGGAGTGATGCTGGCTGAGAAAATGGGAAAGCAGAAGAACCTGGATTTATATCTATGTGCCCAATGACATTGCTCAGCTTTTACAACTTGTACGAGACTACGCATGCAGCCAGTTGCCACAGCGCGGTTGATGTAGGGTACCTTGTCAAGCTGATGCTAAGTTACTTGTTGAAATGTAGCCAAATAGTGCTATGTTTGGGCCTTGAGACACAAAGAATACGGACAACATAAAGTGCTTGTACCACTTAGCTTGTGGGTAAGACACATTTTGCAAAAGCACAGCCACGAGCATGAACTCACGCACTGCCCAGGAGTTGCCTCCAGATGCTTTGAGCACTTATTTTAATTTGTTTTCCACAAATATTTCTACTGGGGAGCTGCTCCTCAGAAAGTCACGTGTAGAAAGTGAGACGAGCACGTGCCGGCCTCTGGAGGCATCTTTGACTGTTCTCCAAGAGTCAGATTTTTTCAGCATCTAGTACACATATTTGAGTACATAAACCCAGGCTGATACAGCAATTTAGGCACTGCAAAGATGCAAACTGCTCTGCCTCAGTGTCCCCTGCTCACCCTTGAAGACCCCCACACACTAAACCAGGCTGTCTGGTGGCTCAGCAGGGCCTTCACAGTGTCCGGCGTGCTGAGTGCATTTAGGCTCTGACCTCTACCCTGGAGCAATGTAGGTCTCTGAGGCGTGTTTGACAGCACATATTCTTCTTCGAGGAGTGGACTCCTGATTTACACATCTCAGTGTGGACGACTGCTTGCTGTTTTCTTTGCAAGAACGACAACCCCTTTTTTGCATACTGGCCCAGTGGCCAATGTACGCATTTAGGATGAAGAAAGTCCTCGGCCCCTGTGTGTTGAGTCACACCACTTCTGCCTCCTGGGAAAGCACAGTGAGCGCCAGGCTGTGGGCAGGAGCTGCAATATCAGTGAAATAAAAGTAATCCCAGGAGGTCCAAGTAGCAATAACCAACACAAGTAACGGGCACCTTTTGCTCGTTTAAGACCTTGACGCAGAATACTTGTGCTGGTAACTTGTAGGCTGATATCTCCGGTATAAAGTGTTTGTGCTGCTACAACCTACAAATTCATAATAAATAAATAAATAAATAAATAAATGATAGATAGATAGTCACGGTTACTTTGGGAACAGCAAAAAAGGATACACTGAAGCAAAGCGATTCACTCACTTGTCTATAAGCCTATCTGAAAATATTCTCAAAGTCTCTTTCAGCACTGCAAAAATTATCTCCTGTCCTCATTTACAAGTAAATGCTAAGAACAGAGAGATACATATTCCTCCCATTTTTAATGTTTTGCTGGGAGTTGTGCTGCCAGCTGTTCCAGCATTCACAATATCTCACTTATTTATCTACTCAAGCCTTTTTTCTTTCTTTTTCCCTTTTTTTTTTTTCCTCCATACAAAGATTCTCTGCAGTCTGGCGGAGCCCGTATTGCAGTATTGATTTGGGAACTAGCAGTTGTGACAATTCGGTCACAGACTGAAGCTCACTTTGTATGTAGGCTGCTCCGTCCTGAGCAGAATCCTGATCCCCAGTGCTGGCCTCACATTTAAAAAGAAGTGAAAGAAGAAAGACAAGCTACTTTTATCTGTTTTGCTTTGAAAGGAGAAGGATTACACAGGGCTAAATAAGCCATCTGAGTACTTAAGCTAGCAATCCTAAATAGCGCCCTGATAGGAAGTCCTGGCAGAAAGCTAATTAAATTAGCCCTCTTTGATTTATTAACAAGCAGAGCAACATATCACACAGGATTGTCCCACAAAATGAATGTGCTTTCTGATCCCCATGGCTGCTTCAGTGCCTTCACCTCCTGGAAAACCTGGTTATGGGGCCTCAAGTTTAATGAGACTCAATGGCGTGAAAAGGATCCCTGCCCACCAACGTAGATACACCCTGGTAATAATATACAAAAGCATATTATTTTCCTTGCACTTTCCTAATTCCTTTTTTAATGTCTAGGACAATCTAACAGCTAATTAGCAATTTCCTGCCCACCAGTATGCACATGAATGACAAGGAAAAGCCTTCTGCATGTTTAATTATTCTGTTGATTTAGATGCCACTTCTCCCTCAGTGCAAGTTTCTCTGTGTGTGTGCTCTCATGCATCATGTATTTCATTATTTTTAGAAGCATGCTCTGCGCCTTTTTATGCTCTCATATTTCCAGTATCCAGTAATTACTGTGTTTTGTGTCCAATGGACCTGATCCATCAACGAGTGTAAATCAGGAAAACACTGCTGACTTTAAATGGAGTTATTCCAAGTTACACCAGACCTGAGATCTGACCTCTCCTGATTCTAGGGGGGATGTTATTTGTGTGCTGGGAATGTCTCTCTTGTGAAGTAGCTGAATATGAAATTTAGAAAACAGCAGAGCGGTAAAAAAACAAATTGAAGCCCACAAAATGCAGAGACGTGAATCTATTTATATAGTGAGATCTACTTCTGCTTAACCCCTGGAAGAAACTGTAACTCTCTTGGCATATTTGATTCTTCTGCTGGGCTGCTTCCCTCAGTAAAATACAGCCCATTTAATCTATTTTGCTACTTTCCAGCAGTTTCACTGGTGGACTTCTTTTCTGTGCTTTACATTTAGACTTCTTCTTAGAGAGCTCTGTTGTTAAATTAAGTCAATTAATAAATGGAGACATTAAGCAATCAATTTTGCCTGCATATCTCCACAGCCTTACGTACGACTGGCTGTAATCACAAGATAAATGCAACGTGCTGATGTATGGTAATGTTCAATAATACATTCTCCACCAGGCTCAATTCATCAGGGAGTTTCTGGAGGGGAGGCATTCGTTATTGGCTGTCTCCGGACCTCAAGGATAACATTTCTGTCCTTTCCATTGGCCGACCCGGTGCTGCAAGCCTCTTCCCGTCTTATTTTGATGATGAATATGAAGGCATGCTAAGCCGTGCCGGAGCGTAGTGCTCGCCGGCTGCACTCCCTCCCCGGGCTCAAGGACTACGGGGCTCTGCCGCTGCTTCCCCTGCCCGCCGCCAGCAGCAGCGACAACAAAAGTTGGGATGCTTTTCTTCACCCAGTGCTTTGGGGCTGTGTTAGATCTTATTCACCTGCGGTTTCAACACTACAAGGCAAAGAGGGTTTTCTCAGCTGCCGGGCAACTCGTCTGCGTTGTCAACCCCACGCACAGCCTAAAGGTGAGTTACAAATATTTGTCCCTTCTTGATCTGGGCTCACCCTCCCCCAGCTGGTGTTTCTCCGCAGGGAATGAAACGATGCTCGAGCGAGAAAGGGAGAGCGCTGTTAACACATTGCAGCCCTGGCAAAGAGGGGGTTCCTAGTGTCTTCCTGCAAGATCTTCTTCAGAGCTAACGGAAAGCAAGCAGCTGCTAAAAGCGGTCTTGGGAAGTCACTGCTCCCCCCCTCTCCCCCAGTCAGCAAAGTTTCCTGGTTCCTTGCATTTGTGTAGCAAATACCCAAATTGCAAGTTTCTAGGAAAAAAAAAAAAGGTGACGAAAAAGTTAGTTTGCTGAATAAACAGTGCTTTTTGTGGAAGGACACCAGCCCGGCACCTGGACCGTCCCTCAGCCCAACACCCAAGCACAGGGTGCTGCTGATTAGAAAACCGGAGGGAGGAGAGACAGGGAGGCAAAAGTGTGTGTGTGGGGGGGCGGTCTGTGGCTGTTGATCCTGTTTGCCTTTTGGTGGAAAAGGCTGCTTTTGTCTCCTGGTGGGTGTCTGAAGGTATCCCTCCGGCGCTGAAAGCGTCCTTAGCCATTTGCAAGGTGAAACTATTTTAGGCAGGAGAATACATTTGCCTTAATGCAAAACTATTTATAGACCCCATAAAACATTTCTCTTATTTGCACATTTCTAGATTTTCACTGGCAAAGTGGCAAACACCTCTGCCTATGCCAAAGCCCTAATGTTTTTAACCACATGTAGCGAAGGACCAGCAGGGGAAGAAAGCAACCGGGACACTTTAATTACTTTATCACGGTAATGAATGACCAACTTTAATGAAATGAATCTTGTTGTGCTGGAAGTCCTTGCAGACCTGATTTGTGGTGCTGCTCCACTAGCCTTATGCAAGCTCAGAAATGATTTACTCTCAGGACAACTCATCCTGGATTCTGCTGAAGTCCCCACGGGGAATTTGAAGGGGTTACAGGGGGGATCTTCTCCGAGCTACAGGGAGATTCACTGGTGGGGTAGGTCCCTCCTCAGAGCATGGAAACAGCATCCCGGCTCTTCCACCTTCATATCCAAAAAACAACACCCCAAAAAGGGCAGATATCTCAGAGGTATTTTTCCAGTATCAGGCAGTGCTAATGGATCGAGACCATTTCTAACACAGTGGCAGCTCCGGCAGGGTTTCCCTCCGTGCCTGCTCTCAGCCCGGCGGCGGTGCAGAGGAGCCAGGGCAGGCGCTCCAAGGGGACTGCTCGGATGCCGCCTCACTTCTCATGTCAGCACTCTCAGCGCACTCCTCTGCCGCCACCAGCACAAGCTATTTAAAAAACCCGCAGCCCTATTATTATCTTAAGGGATCTGGCCATCCAAATGGATAAGCACTTTGCTGAAAGAAATAGCCGCGTTCTTAAGTGCATAAAGAGATTTTTTAAACAAATGCTTCTGTACTTGACCCCTTTTATGTGATTGTGTCCTGCTACTTTCATCTATCATTTCAATTATTAAAAAAAAAAAAACCTAACCAGAAAATGGTCATCATAGTCATTACAATTTCAGAGTCAGTGGCACTGTCTGATGAGGCCCCACAAGCAGAGAAAAGGATACCCACTAACTGCTCTCCTGGTATCTACTCTTAGACCTGATTTTAATCAGTTCAATTTCTCTCAGGTTGCAAATTCTGTATACTAGGAGATGCAGGATTTTATCTTCAGATGTACTGAAATAAAATGATGCTTCAGTGCCTCTCTGTTAAATACATAGGGCATTTCACTATAAGGGCAAATCCCTTGTGACCAAACTCTTCCCTGCTCAGATCCAAAACTCAGTAGACAGAAGAACAGTGTCCGTACTGACTTTGCTGTTCTTGAGACCAGGCTCTGGAGGCAAAATTCTCTTGGAAATAAATGGGAGCTTCTAGGAAAGGGTCCTACCTGTAAGTGAGGTATCTGAGGGAATCTTCTCCCTCATGTGATAAGGTTTCAGTGGGAAGCCCGTTGCACATGTTTTCCCATATGTGCCTGTTGTGACACCAGGCAGATGTGAACGTGGACAAGAAACCTCCACGGATTGAAAAAGAAAATAAAGTGTGAAGTAAAATACGTTTTGAAGGTGCTTCTCAGTTACACAGTTCAGGATGTGAACTGTGTAACATCCAACCTGGTAAATAAGGAGGGCTTTAGGACAGGTTCACTCTTGCAATGTCTTGCTCGGTTTCCCAGCAGCTTTCACTGTTTCACCGTTGTTTTGTGAAACTAGCTGTGAAAGGTTTTGTGAAAGGTGGTTGGATTCCTTTGTGCTGAGCGCCATGCAAAAGTCACCCATTAAAATCCCTCACGTACCAGTGCCAGAGAGCGGTAGGAGCCTGTGGCTAACTCTAGATATCTCCAAGTAAGACACCGAAGTCTGAACTAGTCACCCTGCCTTCTCTTCCCTGGCAATAGAGAGGTAATCATCTCTGGCAGGCAAGGTGTCCTGTCCTAAAACTGGTATCTGAGACAAGGCAGGTGAATCTGCTTCTCGTAGTGCCCACTTCTCCCCAGGGATCACACAGGCAGGAGGCTGTGGTCAGTCCTTCAGATGCAGTGGACTGGCATGGAGACATCTCAAGTTGGGGCAGAGGAATCCTCCCCAGACAGTCCCGTTGGACTGAACAACATATGAGGAGCCACGAAAAAGGAAAAGTCTGAATGTTTGCCTATGTGGTGGTTTTCAGTATTATGACTACTTTGATGTTTCATAGTCTATTATTTCTAGCTGGGTCATTTCAACTGTAACATTTTGTTGACAGCCCCCAAATCTATCTTCACAATTGACAAGCGAAGTGAAAACTATATTAGGGTATGTGGTCGATGAATACAAGCCTGCTAGGAAACAAGAGCTAGGAACAATGTTATTTCTCTCCCTTCCCTCCAAGGGAACACAAGCACAGTTTTGTGCTTGCACTAAAATTGTAAGCCCTTTGCAAAGGGATTATTTTATTATATACCCTCACAGCACCCAAATGAGCAGGTTCCTGGCTGAGTAGAACAAATAATAAATGACAGGCATTATATTTTTGTGAGTGCTTATGCACGCTGACATCCCTCACAGAGGTCAGGTCTTCAGTCAGTGCCAATGTTCATAACTCCATTAAAGTCAAATTGCACCAAGACCTCTATTCTCACCCCTGTCCGTCAAAGGGAGCATTCAGTGGCAACGGTAGGATCCAGCCCTTGCTAAGGGACTGTGGTTGCCGATTATATGTGTGAATCAGCAATCTGGCATCACACAAAATGTTCACAGAGCAGCACTGGGCAGGGGAACCCTAGTACCTTCCAGAGAAACGTCGTGCATGGTGTCGCTCTCACGGTCGTGAAGTGAAATCAAGAGGAGCCTCAAGTAGAGTTAAAGGAGTCGTTGAAAGCCCATGCCAACCTGCCGCCACTGAGATCACCACCTGGGCCCATGACCGAGACAAGAGCCCTGCCTTACCTCTTCCTTTAGGAAAGGCCCAGAAGTTGGCAGAGAAACACACGGTTAAAAAGAAACTTATGTCTTTCTTCACACAGCAAGGCTCATTAACTGAGAAGGCTTATGAGCGATCCAGTGTATTTTAAGAGAGAAAACTGTAAGAATGTCAGTGCAGATATCTGTATTGATCTGCTGCTATTTTCCCTTTGTACGACAGGCTGACACAGACGGCTCTAAACAAGGAGAGACATTTTTGCAACCATCACCCTCGATTTTGCATGCTTGGCTTTGGTGCAAATAGGGTTGAGGTTTTTTTTTTTTTTTTTTTTGGAGCCTCTTTTGTCCTTCTTGCCGCTTTTGGCACGTTGTCCTTTCACGATCTTTCCCAAGAATGCTAACAGCACCTTGAGACCTGGCACTAAGCTGTAATCAAAATGTGCTTGCTGAGCAGAGAAAATCGTGTATTTACTGCACTTCTATAGGTCACCTTCATCCTCAATCATATTATATGTATTATCTTGTAACCTGGGTTTCCTTGAGGCGTGCAGTCACCCTGAAGTCTCTCCTCGGAGAGGCAAGGCAAGGCAACGTGAGCTCAGCAGCTCAAAGACTGCTCTCTTGGAGGCTATCACAGCTAGAGGGAGCTGCTCAGAGGAGCGGCGTCCTGATGGCTGAAGGCTTCAGCTTGCTGGGAAAGTTTTACGCGCTCTCAGTGCGTGGAAGGAATGGGTAATATTTGTTGGGCCGCACGTACAGATGGCACAGTGAATGGCTCTCTGTTTTTCCCCTGTTAATAACAGTCCCCCCAAGCACTGCTAGTTGCACCCCGAACGAAGGCGGGTGCCTGTGTCCAACACGTCGGTTCCCAGCACCGCGGAGCAGGAAACCCTGGGGATGGCAAAGTGCAGCGCACTGGCCAGTGGCCACACCAGGGCTCTGAGCTCCTCCGTGAGGCATCTCGCACTTTCGGGAAGCTGGTTGCACATGTCGCTGTGCCAGAAGCCCTCTTCCACCTTCCTTCCTTCTAGGGCCAGGTTACACCACTGGCTTTTTTGTGTTAAGCCAGCCCTTTGGCTTAAACTGCTCTTTCACCACTCTGATACTTGTCAGAAGAGTATTTACCAGGGATATTGATTCCTCTTATACATTATAGGCAATAACTTTATCTCCCCTTAGCCTTTTCTGATAGGCAGAACAGACTAAGTCCTTTAGTTTTCTCCACCATCCTCTGATCTTCCTTTTTCTTTCTTTTTCTTTAGTTGGCTTCTTCCCTTGCCCCAGGTCAGGGCAGTCTTACATAATACATTATTGTAGTGTAATCACACCCTAGCCAGGCCCTGACATTTTGCTAGGTGCTGTGTATGGCTATGTAAAAAATATTGTCTTTACTCAAGGAGTTACTAGCTTTGTGCACCCAACCTAAACTCTTTTGAATGTATGAGAAAATGCAGCTTTGTTTTAAAAGCACCCTTCCCGGTCTCTGCGGGACTTCAAGGAGCTCATTAAATTACGAAAAGAACCATGTTTAAAGGAGAACATAAAAAGTTTTCAGCCT